GGAGATATGGCTACTCCAAAATTCCCTGTACTCCCCCTGTAACCACTCCTCCCAGCAGCGCCGCCACTACCTCCCACCCTGCACAGCTGAGCCCAGCCCCAACCTAGCCCCTCTGCCAGGAAGAGGCTGAAGCAGCCCTGAGCCCACAGCCTGCCTCTGCCCCACAAATCCAGGAGGCACATGCAGCAGTGGGGAGCTGCCTCCCCTCCCCACCCCTCAGTGTCCCCTGGATGAGCCAATGGGGAGACCAGTGGACATGATATACCTTGACTTTAGCAAGGCTTTTGATACAGTTTCCCAAAACAGTCTGACAAGCAAGCTAAGGAAGTACAGGTTGGATGAATGGACTATAAGGGTGGTTAGAAAATTGGCTGGATCATGAGGATCAGAAAGTAGTAATCAATGACTCCATGTCTAGTTGGCAGCCAGCATCAAGTGGAGTCCACAGGGCTTGGTCCTGGGGCCAGTTTTGTTCAGCATTTTCATCAATGACCTGAAGATGGCATAGATTGCCCCTTCAGCAAGTTTGCAGATGACACCAAGCTGTGGGGAGCAGTAGATATTTTGGAGGGTAGGGTTAGGATTCAGAGAGACCTAGACAAAATGGAGGATTGGACCAAAATAAATCTCATGAGGTTCCATAAGGACAAGTGCAGAGAGTCCTGCACTTAGGATGGAAGAATCCCAGTACAGGCTGGGGACCAACTGGCTAAGAAGTAGCTCTGCAGAAAAGGACCTAGGGTTTACAGTGGACAATAAACTGAATGAGAGTCAACAGTGTGCCCTTGTTGCATAGAAGGCTAAGGGTATACTGGGCTATATTGGTAGAAGCACTGCCAGAAGATCGAGGGAAATGATTCTTCCTCTTTATTTGGCCCAGGAGAGGCCACATATGGAGCGCTGTGTCCACTACAGAAAGGACGTGGACAAATTGGAGAGAGTCCAATGGAGGACAATGAAAGTGGTTAAGGGCCTGGGGCACATGACTTCTAAAGGAGAAGCCGAGGGAACTGGGCTTATTTAGTCTGCAAAAGGGAAGACTGAGGGGAGATTTAATAGCAGCCTTCAGCTACCTGAAGGGTGGTTCCAAAGAGGATAAAGCTAGACTGTTCTCAGTGGTGGCAGATGACAGAACAAGGACCAATGGTCTCAAGTTGCAGAAAGAGAAGTTTAGGTTAGCTATTAGGAAAAAGCTCTCACTAGGAGGGTAGAAAAAACACTGGAACAGGTTACCCAGAGAGGCTGTGCACTCTTCATCTTTGGAGGTTTTTAAGACCTGGCTAAACAAAGCTTTGGCTGGAATGATCCTGCTTTAAGCAGAGGGTTGGACTAGATGACCTCCCGAGGTCCCTTCCAACCCTAGTTTTCTATGAATTCTATGGTTCCTTCCAATGTGTCCATGTGATGATTAAATTAGGTGTACATTGGTCATGCTGAACATAAATACACCATGACCAATACACATAGCTTGGTCATTCTGACTTTGAGTGACATTTTAGGACAACACTCATAACAGACTTGGATTTGCTGGTATCTAATGTAGGTAAGTAACCAAGCTGTAGTGAAATTTACTGAAGAGGAGAGCATTCCAGATAAAAGCACCAAGACTTCTATTGGCAGATTATTAGATTCAAACAGATGCCCAATACATCCTCTATCAAAATGTTAGCCTGCAGGCTCTCTTTACATCTGAACATGCTAGTTTTAAGAGGAATACTTAAGACATCTTTGAGACCCTTCAAGTTCATCTATCTGTAGGAAGTCTACAGTGCTCCTGTCCCCTATATCCAAGCGCCTCACAAGCACTCGTGCATTTAACCTTGCTACCTTCCTGGGATGAGTAGCGTTCCTGTCCTCATACTGCGAACACAGACACTAAGCTATGGGCTAAGTAAGTGCCATGTCCACAGTCAAACAAGCAACTTGTGACAGATACCAAACTAAACACAGATCTACAAGCCCATAGTCCTCTACATTAACAAGACTCATCTTCCTCCACCTCCAGAATACTAATGCTTTCAAACGGTTTAGATCCAGGAACAGGAACCTATATGAAAGCAGAGAGGATAACCTTTGGGCATCATGCCTTTATTGATCATTAATGAAGAAGCCAGGCATTTTGAATAACTTTTTCTCCTCAGTTAAGCATGCTACTTCCACTGCATTTCCCCAGGGATTTTCCCCAAAACTCTCAAGACAAAGCTCTGTTCTCAGTTTTTAAAAGTGCATCTGTGATTCAGAAGCTTTAAGTTGCATTGATGTTTAATGTGGCTTCAGCTCGTAAGCACCTAAGATTCCCTTGGCAAAATAACTTCAGTTTCTACATCACTTGCATCTTTTTAAAAAAATGTGTGCATAAATTACTAACTGGCAAAGTTACAGCTATTTTCTAGAACTCCTCCACATTACGGTTGCTTTATACCAATTAATGGTGCAGAGTGAATTGCCTCAAGAACTTTTAAAATCAGAGAGAGCTGACTGTTACAAAGTCTCAGATCCTCAAGCCCATATGCTTTAAGGAAGTCTGAATCCAGAGCAGCATTTTCCACCTCAGGGCAATCTCTACTTCCCATGATAAAAATAATTCTCATTATGCTCCTTTTTCAGAAAAAAAAAATTAAAAAATGATAATTTGTTCCCTTTGGACAGTCACTATATGATGGTCACCTCTCATCCAAAATGTGTGTTCCTGCTTTCCTTAACATAAAAATGAAAAGTCTCTATGAAATGAAATGTTTAGCTACTTTATGAATGGCCCTGTTATTCTCACAAAGCTAGAGAAGTGTTGGGTCATCTGCCTTTCTTGTATAAAGGTTCATGGAACTGGAACATAGCACACTATTCACTGCTGAACATTTCTGCTACAAGTAACTTTACTACCTCTCTCCATCCTGAATATGTTGAGTGAAAATCCAGGCCCACTGAAGTCAATGGGGGTATGGACAAACTGATATGGGGCCAGCACAATGAGAGTTCTCCTCTCTTACCAGCAATTCAATCTCTTAACATACACCTACACTCCAAAAATACAGGGTAATGGGTAGATCTAAAATACCAGATAGGTTGTTTTTGGTTTTATTACTATTATTTTTGCATTAGTTCCACTTTAGAGAGAGAGAGAAAGAGAACACACAGAGTAATTCCCACAGAACAACTTACAAAAAAATTCTCTGATCATCACACCAACATCAACTGTAGAACAGAAAGCAGACAACCACAAGGTGCGTAAAAAGGAAAAATTCTGTAGACTGATAAGATGCATTAGTTACAAGACAATCAATCCAATTAAAGGCTAACAAAACCGGTCCTATTCTTATTTCCAAATCCACCAACTGTGAAGGACTATTTGATCTAACACAGTAAGTGGGGGGAACATTAAGGGCATGAACACAAGCATAGTTTACCACTAGTAAAAAAGGGTACAGCTTTACTGTGGATTACCTGCTCCACAGTAACTGTCCGTGTGTGTACTTGCACTACATAGTAAATGAACACTAACCTGCAGTAATTTAGCCCTCTTTAAAAGATGGGTAAGCAACTGCAGGTTGTCTTCTGCTTACCACAGTGTAAGAGCATACACACAGGCTGTTACCAAAGAACATCTTACAACTGATAAATCCCATTCATTTTACCACATGGTAAAATTTTCAAGTGCCTACCCTCCATGCAGATGTGGTGTGGTAAGGAAATACCTGCCCAGCAATGTGTGAAATGGAGCTAAGATTTTTTTTTATATCCTTGGCCTAGAAATCTATTTACAGACTTGTTTCTACCCAGACATACACAACAGTGGGGGCCAACTTTTTTGGTCTTCTGCTTCCTGCCCTATGTTCCCTGCTCAGCTTTGTTCCTTCCCCTGTGCTCCCAATCTGTTTCTCTGCTTTCTGCACTATCTGCCACTGTGCTACTTGTCCCCTCTCTTGTCCGCCATGTGCCACACACATACACACACACACACACACACACACACACACACACACACACAGGCTGCCTGTGCCACTTGTAGGCCTGCAGTAGCCAATCTGTGGCCATGCATGCCACAACACGGCAAAAGCATGCTTCTGCCAGGTTGGCCCAAGCACACACTGCCTACCCACTCCTATGTACATACTCCAAAACTGAAAATAAGCCAGCAGGGCTTTTCCATGCTCATCCCTAGTAGTTCAAGTGCACCAGAGACCGGGGTATTGAGGGTAGCTGCTAAGAAAGACCCTAGAACAGCCTCACCAGCTTATTTCCCAGTTTGAAACTGGCAAGTGGGAACAACTGAGCTAGCCATGGTCCTAGCTGGGGCACGCTGCTGCTGTGGCATGTATCTGCCCTAAGAAACCAGTAGAAAGACTGGGATACCCTGAAGAGCTAGGTTTCATTATTATTAGAACAGAATCTCTTCTCAGTCTATTATAGTCCTCTGGAAATGCTGACCTTTGATAACCTTGCTTTCCTAGATGAAGCACTAGAGTACTTGTGGATGTGTGGAAAGGATGCTTCAATTAAATCAAGTCTGCAGGAGCATGCTAAATTAGCACACCTCCAGCATCTTGTGAATTACGCTTCAAAATGGCAATGTGGGCTGCTTCAACTAAAACTTCTTTGATGAGCTTTAAAGTGCCCTACCACCATTTTGAAGCATGGGGATGCTGATACGCGAGATGCAGCGGCCGCTTTAATTAGAGCAGCTGTCAGAACCACTCTAATGAAAGCACTCCACCAGCCCCTGAAGCACGTGTAAAAATTCCCCTAGATTTGAAGACTATGACACATGGTGGAGGGGGATACACAGACATTGCTGTCTCTTTATAGCAACTGAACTTAATGCCAAAAAGTTTTGCTGGACAAGCTTCATCCATTAGTTTATGTGAACAGATGGAAGCATAGATTAATGGGGGATTCCGATTTCTTTCCACAGACACAGGCTTTCGAGGGAAAATGAACAAGGCAAGATGACAGCAGGGGATTGATATAAACATTTAGAAACTGGTCCGTGCGACTTTCCTTACCTACATTTCTCAAACACTGCACGGTGACAGCAAATCCTTTTGTCCGTGGTAGCAGATGGTACTTGAGCTTGGGCAGCCCTTTGGCTTCAGCCACTTGCATGCTGATTTGGTGTTTTTGCTCTGTGAACCTTGTGCCTTCACAATGAATCAAGAACTGAAAGCAAGACAGGGCTGCAGTTAGAAACCAGCTTGCAAAAAGGACATAAAAAAAACCCTTTGTTTTTGGTTTGTTCTGTTTGTTCGCTTGCTTTTTTTAATGCGCCTTCTGATTGGAGGCATTTTGCAAGTGGATTAGTTGGAAGGAAATAAAGCCTTGAATATACTTAATACTAGGGAAGAGGGGGATCTGGATGCTGTTCATACTACTATTGTAAGCAAAACCTTGGGTCAAAAAAGGAGAATACTGATCAGTGGAGAATTTTGGCCTATTCTGCTGCTATAACAAAGGCCATGAGGAACATACATTGAGGAGCTCAAGAAAGTACATTAGAACTTCTGATCCGACTGAGCAGCACAGGTATTACCTCAAAAGTTAGAGATAAAGAGACCCCAACCGGAAATCCAGATTCACCCCCCAGCTTCAGGACAGTTCAGTGCTCCATCACAATTCACATTTCACAGGTAGGCTCTCAGGCACAATTCGAATGCACATTTAAAAAGAACTTAAAATCATCATTAACTCCTTCCTGAGAGACTAGCCTCCTAGGGCATTATTTTCTTCCACTTCTAAAGTCCAATGGCTCCAACAGCTACAAAGATGCATGGATTTTACAATGCTGAGGATGGACTAGCTATGACAGTAATGAATCCTGTCACTGTCGAACCACAGGCCCAGCTATTTGATACCTGCAGATAGCGCTCACGGAGTGATGCAACAAAGATCATTTTATTTTTATAACCTCTGTAAGAGAAGAAATTACACGCCTGCATGAAGACACTACCTCTCCCCTCCTGCACTACACAATGAGATGGGGCCAAATCCTCCTCCGCCAGCATCTTTGATTCTCTTGGTGCTAGAAGAGAAGGGTTACTGAACTAGCTTTGAGACACTTGAACTCAGTTGTGACAGATGACAGAACAAAGAGCAATGGTCACAAGGTGCGTTTTGGTTGGATATTAGGGAGAGCAAGGGAGGTTTTGGTTGGATATTAGGAGAGACGCTCTCGGTAGGAGGGTAGTGAAGCACTGGAACAGGTTACTGAGAGCTGGTGGAATCTCCATCCTTGGAGGTTTTTAAGGTCCAGCTTGACAAAGCTCTGGCTGGGATGATCTAGTTGGGGATGCTCCTGCTTTGTGCAGGGGGTTGGACTAGATGACCTCCTGAGGTCCCTTCTTAACTTTCTATGATTTTATGAACTCAAGTCCCTGTTCCTCTGTACCTTGAGTCTCCATCTATATTCGAAGGAGATATAGCACTTCCCTACCTCAATATGGATGTTGCAAGATTAAATACCATATTGACATTAAAGTGCTCAGATTTTACAGTGACGAGGCCTGTACAAGCAAGCACTGCCTCAGATAATGTTTCAGGAAGCTCTCCCATTCTGGTGTGTCCCAAGCACCTGGATGCACCATGTGCAGCCAAAGCCATAATTATTGTGCCAGTGGCTGTGGCAGTGACAGCTACAGACCAGAAAATGCAGTCATTTAAAGTGTCATATTAAAAATAAGCTTTTTGCACTAACCTGCTCAGGAATGAGCATAAAGTCCATTCTCCTGTTGGCACATACATGAAAACAAACTGGCCTCTGGAAATATAACCTCTTCACGATTCACTTTCTGACAAGTGTAGCTGAAACCGACTCACTTGTTCAATCTAAAGGCAATCAGGAGAATGGATTTTGCAGCCTTTGACTTACTCTACCAGTAACCCAAGGCCAGGATTTTAGCCACAAAAGTTTGTAAGGGAAGAGAACTAGTCGATCATCTCTCATTTAGCCTCTAGCCCCTGCTGGAGTGTTTTCTTCCGAGCTACCCTATAGAATCTTTTTCAAAAGGCAGATCTAGCTTTCAGAAAAAAAAGAGAAAAATCTTTTCATCAGACCTGGCCTGCTCTCTTTTTACACATAAGGTACTATTTCTACCTTTGATGCACGATCCCTGCACAGGAATGCAAAGTAAAATTCCACTTTGCACTGAATTAACCTCAGTTGTATGACAACTGTAACAATATTAGGGTTGAGTAAGAGGGATTACTAAGAAGCAGCTATTAGGCAATATACAAAAGAGTCAGGTGAGTTATGCTCATAAATCAGTGCTGAACAATCCAAGTATTTTTTATAAAAACAGATTGGGGCATGTTTTAAAAGGTCAGAAATTACTGTGGAAAGCAGCATCTAAAGACAGTATCTTGTCTATGTCTCAGGCAGCATCCTCGCTAGAGATCATCCAACATACCCCAAAACAAAGGCCTCTGATCTACAAAGCAGGGATTGCCTTCAGGTCCCACTGAATGCAATGAGACTGCAGGTGTCCAAATACCTCAGAGGTTCAGGAGTGTAATACTTGCATCTTCATTAGAAAACTGTCTCTCAGTTAAGCAACCAAATTTTTGTTAGCCACTTGTACAATTGCTTAAGGCTCAAAAGGTCTTTCACGTGGCTCTCTCCACACCAAATCAGGATTTTTGATTCCCAGGTGTGGTGGAGTCATAACCTGTTTACTTCTTGTCACAATCTATCATTTTCCAGCCTGACAGATGAGGTGGATATTTTTACCTCTCAGTTCTCGTTATGGGGAGGTAAATCCAGTCCTCTTCACTTTAAAAAGTCTGTAGCTCAAACAGCATCCTAGTTTGGGCAAACAACTCTACCAAGTTTGCTTACATCAGGTGCTTTAACATAAGATTTGCCATGGATTGTAACAACGGGATTCAAAGGAGGGAAAATGGAGTAGGGGGCATGAGTGCATAAATTACTCCATCTTCTAAAACGACAAGGAAAAAAGCAGAGTGAGGCAGTGGCAGAGAGGAGGGGGCGTATTTTATATATACATCACACACAAATGCTCAACCTCTCCACTGTCCTCTAAATTTGGGAGTTTGGAAAGCAACAAGGAAAAACCAAAACAACCCACAAACAAACCAACAATTGCCACGTGTTCACTTTATAATCTATGACCTTTTCTCTCTACAGCCCTTTATAGGAGCAAAAGACAAATTAAATTAAAGCAAAAAACATAGGGTGGAAGTTCTGAATTCTTCTCAATGACTGACACCTGCAAGGCTCACAAAACCAGCGCACCAAATTCTTCACACTGATCACGGAGGTTTCATACGAAGAATTGTATCGTATTGCTTATGTTCTTCGCATCTCACGGAAGGGACAAGAGTACTGTCAGTGCCACCCCATCCTCGCTACTCACCCAAAAGTTTTCTGGGTAATCCCGGAGGTTGAACAAGCCCTGCATGACTGTTTTCCGATCCTCCTCCCATTTACGCTTGCAGAAAACGATCTCTCTGAAATCCCACATCCAGCCAATGACAGGCACGTACGAGAGTTCCTTCTTCGCAAGCACTTTGGCACTCTGCAACAAAGAACATAAAAGCAAAGTGTTAAGGAGAGTGTTACACAGAGAGCTTTGAATAAAATATTTGTTGAGATTTAGGGCAGACAAGACAGAAAAGGGATGGGCTTCAATAATCCAATTCATGCTGTACAGTCTTTTGCTGGCTGCATAGTTTTGTTTTTTTTAAAGTTCTCCTCAGTGTATGTTGGGGTGATTGAATTTGACCCAAAATACTTGCTGGATGGAAAAAACTGTTAGAAAAGGCCACATATGCCAAGTTCATTTGAAAACAAAGGCATTTCTTGCTAAGAGGCAGGCTTACTAACCAGAGAAATAATGTTTTTCACATATCCAGAGACCTGATACAGCATGACTGATACAGAACTCACGCAGCACAGACAACCCAAGTTCCTCTATGAGGTCTTGCCAATACATCTCCACCCAGAGTTCGGAAGAGATTAGCCCTAAAGAGAAAGTCATGCTGTATACCTGATAAGGTCTCTTTTGTTTGTTTTTAAAATTGAAGCTGCTTACAGGATACTGCTACAAATGACTGCATGGAAAATATCCAATCAGCAGAGTATATTGTTACAACCTTCACAGCACTTGCAAGAAAAGATTTTAGTTATGTCTGCTTTTTTTCTATGGGCCTCATTACTGTACCACACCATTACAATAATGCATTTCTGTTCAGAATCTGTCCATAGCGCTGGGAAGTCCCACCTCATAGATGCAATGCAAAGAGATTAAATTGGCCAACCAAGGTGAGTCAGTTAATACTGTTGCCAGTAATAAGCACCTAGATCTGGACACCAAATCCCCCAAGGAGACCATCTTTCTGAGATGCCTTTCATTGCTCCCTCCAAACCTGTTCATTTCTAATGCATCTTTACTTTATTATTTAGTGATCAAAATGAAGATTGAAGCAGTAAATAATGTGCAGAACACTGGTACAGCAGAGACTGAAAAACATAAAATCACAATTTTCCCACAAAGTAAAAGAAGCAATTACGATCCATCTTGCACGTGTTCTTCCTTTTGAAGTGCTCCATCCCAATGCCCCTCAGATGGGCTGCTAAGACATCAGATTTGACAAGCAGCAATTGGTGGACTCAACATACAAACAGCTACTATATGCAGTTCTTTCTTCCTCTCCTCTCCCTCACAATTGATTATTAGGGCAAGGGAGATTTGACCTACTTCTTTTCTCTCTCACCTCATCTCTCCAGTCTGCTTTCCTTCTCCTAGAAGAATTCCGTAAATAATTAAAGCTACATACAAAACTGTCATGAAACTTGAGGGCAACTGCACATCACACAACATTATGAGTGACTGCCACACAAGCAAAGCAGCCACAGGTGCAGCAACGCAGCTTCCAAGAATTAGAGACAGAAATGCATTTGTCTAAACACTGCAGACTACCGGCCACCTTCTGCATCTCTCAAACCCAGTGCTACTGTTGAATAATGAGTAATGCCCCCCACTCCACCCACAATCAGCATGGGGGGGGGAAAAGCCTCATCTTGGATTTCAGTACCAGACTAGGACACGTGGCAACTCAGCTCCAGCTTTAGCCCCAGGGATGAAGCCAGAACTGAGCTGCAACCTGCCCCAGGCTGGAATGGTTTGTTTGGTAGGGGAAGGGGCAGGAAACCTGCAGCTTTTTCCCCCTTGCTTGTGTCTGTCCCCCACCCCCTGTCCCTTCTCTCCCCACACTTACCTTCTGCTCCATTCCAGTACCTCCAGCCCAGACCTCCTGGGAATTGCTACAGCTTCTCCCTGGCCAGGCCAGGCTGGGTTGGGCTGAGACCAGGCCACCCTGCTGCTGACTGCTCCAAAGGAGCAGAGCTGCAGGAGAAGGTAAGGGGAACATGGGTGGAGGCACGCAGGCTGCAGGAGAGGCAAAGCACAGCCACAGGGGAACAAGGGACACCCCCTCTACCGCTGCTTTCCCCACCATAGCAGTAGGGGGATGAATTCAAAAGACAAACCTACCACTAATTAGATTCTGTGCATGAAAAATTAACACAAAAATTCATGATTTTCCATGTCCAGAATCTCATTATTGGGGGGAATCTTCTTAAAATCAAAGTCACCTTAGATTCAAGTAAATACAGTAATGGAAAAAAACCAACACCAAGACAGGCATCTTTACACATATGTTCTCCCTCACTCCACACAAATAAAGAATTACGAGTTCATTTATGAATCAACACCCATGATGTGCTGTCAAAGGGTCATTAGAAGGTAGCAATTTTTCAAGGAAGACAGCAGAGAAGACACTACACTCTCTGGCTTTTCCTCTTTTTCTTGTCCCTCAGTGTAACTATACATTTGTAGGTACTCGTTTCCAAAAAATGCATCTGATCTCTGACCTCCCGATGCACATGTATTATTAACAACTTGTTTAATTTTGAATGTTTTCATGTTGTCTTAAAGAAAGAGAGAAGAGAAGAGCCTCCTAAAACATACAAACCAGGTCACCTTGTTTATCCAACCCTCCCCTGTAAAAGTCAAAATAAACATTGGTGAGGTTTGGACTGTGCCAATAGGTCATTAAAAACCAGACTTTTGTTACTACCATCATTTAACTTCTGACAAGCATATACCTACCTAGGCAATCCCATTCAATCACAAATGGAAACAGAATCTGAACCATTTGGAAGTGTGAAAATTTGCAGTTGTAAAGCTATGCAAGTGCCGCTTCGGGCACATACAGGCGAAACAAGCTTTAGCCCTTGAAATTCCCAATAATCCCGAAGAACATCATACAAAAAACAAACAAACAAAAAACCCTTAGCCCCCTGAATTGCTGCTGGAATTTAAAAAAAAAAAGCCAACAAAAGGTAGATGATCAAAACGTGTTTCTCAATTAGAAAGGACAAAGTGTTACCTCCTTGTGGTGTTCCTTAAATAGCAAATAGGTACTCAAGAGTACAGAACAAACTTGGCCTGCAACAAACAAAGACAGCCACTGCAAGACGGAATAGATTCAAGTTATTGGGCTCGATATATGTAATGCAAGAAGCTGGAATAGATGATTCTCTCCAGTCAAAGATCTACAAAGCTGAGGCTTCCAAAAAGCATAACAAATTAAAATCAACCTTTTCTTGACAGCAGCTACTACTTCTTTGTGCTTTTCTAAAAACAGGCAAGACCACTGACAGAAACGGTAGACAAAAAAGTTACCACTAACTATAGTTTTTAGGGGTGTGGGAAGCAGGCCCTGTTCGTTTTGGATTCAGCCCAACTCAGGGGCAGCGATTCAGATCACTGTCCCCAATTTGATTCAGCCCAAATCTGAATCTGAAGATTCGATGCTGATTCAGAGAATCCGCAATTCAGACATAGACAAAGCTTTAAAAGTTTTTTCTACATACCTCGAGGTATCAGTGCAGCTCATGAATGCTGTGATACTGGGGCACATGGAGTGTCCCACAGGGGTGGGGGGGTGGGGGGCCTCCACATGCTTGGCAGCAAACCCGGAAGTGGACCAGAATTACTTCTGGTTCACTTTCAGGTCTGCCAGGGAGCACGCTAGGGGGCCTCTGTGATGCCCTGGCTCAGCAATCGACCGTGGGGGGACCCAGGGTGCCCTGCCAGACCTAGGAGGCACCAGTCACCAAACTGGGGGGTGCGGACCCTGCACAATCTCCAGCAGACTCAGAAGTGGAGCAGAAGTGTTCCACTTCTGGGTCTGCTGCCAAGTGCACTGGGGACCACCGCCATGCTCCAGTAGGGCTCTGTGCGCCCCAGCATCGCAGCATTCATGAATCACCTGCTCCTCAGAGGTACGTAGAAAAAAACATTTAAAGCTGCATCTATGTCCGAATCACCGAATCAATTCGGAGGGTTCCAATTTGATTTCGGAGAGATTAAAGGGTCCTCCGATTCGATACGGCGATTCGGCCACCAAATGATTGCCGAATCGAATCAGGGACTGAAGCTTTGCACAACCCTAGTAGTTTTCTTCCAAATTGGGGGGGGGGAAATCACATAATGCTATGATTTTATTTTATTTATTTATTTATTTATTTATTTAAAGGCATCCTGAAGCTCAGGTACCTAGGTTAAGGCATTATAGATGCTTGAACATCTTCCAGAAGATCTAAGGATACACAATTTATTTCTTGTTCACTTTCTATAGGCTCTTTTAGGAGCTGGAGTAGATAACCTTTTAGATGCACATGAACAGAAAGTAAGGTATCTTAGGTTATTTTGTCCCCAAAGAGTGCATTATATATAGAAGGAAGTCTTGAATTACACAGAGAAATTAGAGGCCAGAACAACTGTGCATTATATTGCCAAAACTGATCTCTTGTGGGAGGAATAATTGATTTTTGTGTGGTTTGTGCCTCATTCTCCCTCCACGATCCCACCTTTGAAAAAATGCTTTTTGCAGAGATGTAATAATCCTCACTTATAGCCTCAAAATTCTACCTTCCTAGAAGGATAAATTCTTTAAAGCAATGCTGGGTTACACATAAAAGATACTTCTTTCCAGCAGATGCAAAGGAATATTAAGACTGTAGTACTATGCCAGATACACCCATAAGGATGTCTGCTGTGAATAGTGCCGAGTGTTTCCCAAAAGGATTTCTCTCTTCATACACTCAATCTAGCTCCAAAATTAATTCACTGTGGCCACACATGCACATGTGTTCAGTTGCAAAACATCTGCGTGATCAAGTTCCACCCACACAGATGGCTGAAGAACACAGGATTTCAATGCTGCTTAAATGAGTAATCAAAGAGAGAAATTTAAATACTTGCACCAAAGATGCCTGCATACCCACCCAACCAGATAATACACCTTGTTGCTAGTTTGTACAATCCCAGCTAACAACTGGAGTCCACAAGAATTTGTTTTATAAAATTTCAAATAATAAAACTTCAAATAGGAGCTAAAACAGGCTTAGTTATTTATTTATATAATTCTCTTGACTTTTCCTTTTACAAATTTTGTTCACTTAGGGCACCTATACACGAGCTGGACATCTGCTCCAATGCATGCTAATTAGTATGCTTCAGCAGCCTCTGCGTCATGTGTATTCAGCGTCCCCGTGTTTAATATGGTGGCAGGGGTGCTTTAAGTAAAGCTTGAATGAGCATCCAAATCCACTCCCTCAAATGAAATGCAGTCAGAATATCATGATATGGTGAGAACAAGAATTTTTTAGGCTCGCTAGCTCCCTACATTTGTTTCTTAAAAGCGTCATCTACCTGAATTTAACAAATGTATTCCCACAATATTAAATGCTGCAATAACACTTTAAGGGGTTTTTTTTGTATAAATATATACCAAGATGCTCAGCTAGAGCCAAGTGCTCAGACTTCTGCAAACCTCCTTGCCTAAATGCTATGGTATTGTTTTTCTTAAAAATGCATACAGGAAGAAAAGTCAGCGCATAAAAGTGGACCATGAACATTCCCCCAGGCCACTGGACCACACTTTACACCAACCTGGCAACACCACAGCAAAGTATCTAGCCTAATATCAATGGACCTACCAAAAATCAAAGAAACAAGCAGTCGATTTCATGGACAAATTGTGGGGCCAGCCACCGTTTTCACAGACTTATCAC